ACTTTATATTTAGACTATTGCTATTGGTACACCCTTGTTTTGCTATCGGGGGCTTATTGGTACACCCTGTACAACAAGTACATCCCCACCAATTTTTTCAATTCAGTCAACTATACCATATTACAACATATCAACCCTCATAACTTATTCAATCCCGTATTTCAACATATAAGATTTATATCGCTATTTTCGCCTCAATTAGGACTTCCCAACGATATAAGTCTCGATTAGATGCATGCCTTATTTCAAAAGTTATTCGAATATATATTCAATTTGATGCAGATGCGACCACTCGAGAGGATATCACGTGGTCTCCCCAAGAGCCACCACCACATATACTCGAATAACTTCATATTGAAGGCCTGCACCAGATTGATATTCATACCGTTAGAAGGCTCTAATTGAGGCGAAACTAGCGGTATAAATTATATAAGTTGAATTGTCGAATTGAATAAGTTATGGGGTTGATATATTCGATAAGACTGCTTTGGATGAGGCTCTGCGGGAGGCTCTTTTGCGGTCGCATTTATATTCAATCAAATATTCAATCAAATATTCAATCAAATACACACGTATATTCGAATAACTTTTGAAATATTGCATGTATCAAGTCGAGATATATATCCTTAGAAAGCTCTAATTGAGGCGAAAATGACGATATAAGTTTTTATATATTGGAATGCGGGATTGAATAAGTTATGAAGGTTGATATAATAGGTGTTGAAAATGGGTGGGATGTATTTGAATGTACTGGTGTACCAATAAGCCCCGATAGCAAAACGAGGGTGTACCAATAGCAATAGTCTATATTTATATTAAATTAAATAAATAGAAATTTTATTATATTAATTATTTTTATTTTAATATTAAATTATATAGTAAAGAAATTATATTATTATTATAATTATATTTTTATATCCTATTTATTTCTCTTTTTCCCTCCTTCTTTCCTTTCCTCCCCCCCTTCTTCTCCCCTCTTTTTTTCTCCTTTTTCTCCCCCCCTCTCCTTCTCCTCCCTTCTCTCTTTCCTCCCTCCCCTCCCCCTCTTCCTCCCCCTCCCTTTCCCTTCTCTTTTCCTTTTCTTGTCCCCCGGTTTCCCCTTCCTTTCCTTCCTCCTCCCTTCTTCTCTCCCTTCTCCTCTCTCCTCCCTCTCTCTCCTTCCCCCTCTTTTTCTCCTCCTTTCCGTCCTCCCCTTCTTTTCCTCTCTCCCCCTTTCTCCCTTTCTTCTTTCTTTCTCCTCCCTCTTTCCTTCTCTCCTTTTCTTTCTCTCCCCTTCCCCTCTTCTTTTCCCCCTTTCTCCTCTCCTCTTCCCTCTTCTTTTTCCGACCTTGCTTGGTACCCCTCCTTTTGCTATCGGGGGCTTATTGGTACACCTTGTACAAGGGGTACATCCCCACCAATTTTTTCAATTAAATCAACTATACCACATTTTAACCTTTTAACCCTTACAACTTATTCAATCCAGTCGTCCAACATATAAGATTTATATCTCTATATTCGCCTCAATTAAATCTTTCTAATGATATAAGTATCAACCTGGTGCAGGCTTTCAATATAAAGTTATTCGAGTATGTGTGGTGGTTGTGGCTCTTGGGGGACCACGTGATATCCTTTCGCGCGGTCGCATCTGCATTGAATTGAATTGAATTAAATGATATATATTGGAATAACTTTTGGAATAATGCATGCATCTAGTCGATACTTATATCATTAGAAAGATCTAATTGAGGCGAATATAGCGATTCAAATCTTATATGTTGGACGACTGGATTGAATAAGTTGTAAGGGTTGATATATTCGATGAGGCTCTGGATTGAGGCTCCGCAGGAGGCTCTTTTGCGGTCGCATTTATATTCAATCAAATATACATATATATTTGAATAACTTTTAAAATACCGCATGCATTTAATTGAGACTTATATCATTAAAAAGCCCTAATTGAGGCGAAAATGATGGTATAAATCTTATATGTTGAAAAATTAGATTGACGAAGTTATGAGGGTTGATATATTAGGAGTTGAAAATGGGTGGGATGTATTTAAATGTATTGGGTGTACCAATAAGCTCCGATAGCAAAACGAGGGTGTACCAATAGCAATAGTCATTTTTAATATTTAAAAGAACAATAAAAATATATTATAATTATATTATTTTAAAAGGTTTTTATATTAAATTTATTATATTTAATATTTTTTTTATTTTTTATTTTTATTATTAGCTTTATTAATAATTTTTTTATTAAAATGTTTTAAATATATATTAATATTATTTATATTAATTAAAAAAAATATAAATTAAAATCAATAATTATATTATTTAAATTATTTTTTTAAACATAATATTTAACTTAAATAAAAATAAGATTTTAATTAAAGTAATTTTAATTAAAGTAATTTTAGTTAAAATAATTATAAAAAATAATTATAATAATTTTCAAAATATAATAACTAATTAGAATAAAGATATAGTTATAATTAAAAAAATTATTAAGGTTAAATTTGCCGGAAATAGCGTTTATTGCTTAAAGTTATATTATAATAAAAAAAAAAGTTAAAATTTTTTTTAAAAAAATATACGTAAAAATAATTAATATAAAGAAAGAAAATATAAAAATTAATAAAATTAATATTTATTTTGTATATTTAATTATATGTAAATAGTTAATATATAAAGAAATAATAATATTATTAAATAAAAATAAAATTAAAATATTTTTAATAAAGTTATTAAAAAATTAATTTATTAAATTTATCATAATAAATTTATAAAGAAATTAATTTTTTTTATATATAACCTAATAAAAGCGTATAAAACAATTTAAAATTAGAAATGTCGGATTTTCCCGAAAATTATTAAATATAAATTTATTATAAAAAAACTTTTATAATAAATAATATATTTAATATTATTATAATATAATTATAATTTAGCGTAATATTAAAATAAAAATTTATATTATATATTTATTTATAACTAATAGCCATATTAAAAAATAATATTAAATTTATTATAATTTATATAAATATTGGTTATTTAAATATATTTGTAAATTGTTTTTAATTAAAAAAATATATTTTAAATGTTAAAATTATAAACATTGCATTTATTATTCAAAAAAATATTATAAAAGAAATAGTTTTATCATAAAAAATTATTTTTTAAATAAAAATTAATAATATTCTAAAAAATAATTACGTAGTAAAAATATTTATAGTTAAAATATTATTAATTAATAATAATTTATAATTAAATTTATTATTTAAAATCTTTTTTTATATGAATATATAGTAAATATTTATTATAAAAATTAAATTATAATATTTAATTTTTATAATAAAATAATTATTTTGATAAATATTATAAAAGAAAAATTCAATTTAATAGTAAGTTTTAATGTTATTTATAATAATAATATTATTTAAAATTATAATATAAATATTAATATAATATATAAATTTTTTCGAAATTAATGTAAAAAAATTTANCTAACCCTAACCCTAACCCTAACCCTAACCCTAACCCTAACCCTAACCCTAACCCTAACCCTAACCCTAACCCTAACCCTAACCCTAACTAGAATTTAATGTGGAGATTCTCTTCCGAATTGTTGATCTCCTGATACCAGAATCTGTGTTGAAACACATCCATAAAATTTGCGATGACGATAGCGACTGTCCACTCTTAAAGGTGCCTGAGGAACGGCGGGCTCAGTGTGCAAAAGACAATACAAATCTCCCAAACAATACTAATAGTTGCCGTCCTATGACACCAAAATCTACAGTTTCTTGCCTTCATAAAGAGACAAATGTTGCCGTGGTTGTGCAGAAGGATGATGAACTACGATCGGCGCTCAAAGAGGCCCTTCAATCGCCAATAAACCAGTCAGAGAAGAAGAAATCTTGTCTTGGATCACTCATAGTTCCCTTAAATTTCGACCCAAAACATAATGGAAAGAGGATGCCAGTCCAGAGCTTCGAATGTTTGTTCGAGCTTTGTGACACGAAAACTTTTGAGACTGAGCAGAACGGGTACAGCCCGTTACAGCGAGCCGTTTTGCTCTATAATGAACCAAGGATCGACCACCAGATACTGTTTTCGGTTATAAAAGCTTTAATTAACCGATGTCCGTCGTCAATCTATTTTAACGGCGCTGAAAAAAGGGGAAGACAGCTTACTGATTGCTCAAGGAGTTGCAAAATAAGAGAGCTGTCCCCGAAGAGTTAGAGTGTAGCAAAAAGACTGAAGATGAACTCAAGCAAATCTGCATCGGCTCACCTGACAGGACCCGAGAAGAAAAGAAGGCTTTCTTGTATTGGGACACAGCAAGTGGTATGTTCAATGTCGCACTTGAATAGTGGTATATAATACGCGTCTAACCCGACAGTGTGCCAATTCGATCTCAACTTAAAGACCGAGTCTGTGCAAATCGACCAAGCATACATCCAAACCTTCAAATACTAGGCTTATATAAAGTTTGAGACAGTACTTAGCAGTGTCGAATTACCGTATTGGAAACATGAAAGCCGTGATCTTTCTATCGGCAGAAACCGACATGACAAGAATAAGGACACTGTGGATCCTTACATATCAATATTCCAATGGCTGTGGGTCTGTAATGTTAGAAAAATTTTCACCATCGATGTAGACGATGATGGTGCGGAACCTCATACAAATTCCTCGATACGGGCGTGTCTTAGAGGGCGGACCAGAGAAAACGCCGAAACTGACGACAATAGCAACGAGGAACGAGATTTTGGAGTCGAAATCTGGAAATGGAAGAAGTTTGACCTCTGTATAGACACAATTCGCTATACGGCTCCCCAAGTGAAAGAGGTTTATCTCTATTGTTCCGGAAACACGACTGTCCTTCGAGCTTGGGCGAGTAAATCAGGAGTTCCCACGTTGGAATATGTGAGTGATATTACGGTATGGGGAGTTTATTGGCTAACACCGGGCAGCTTGAAAAACTAACTGTCGAAATACATCCCAAGGTAAGTTCTCTATAGCGGTCAAAGGGAGCTCCAAATTGCTAACAAAATCCAGAACGCCAATGATATGAAGGACTGTAAAGAATACGAACCTACATTCATTCAAAAGCTCATACGACGATGTAAACATCTCAAGTATAAAATTGATGTGAAGTATCCGGATGAAAACGTTCCGTCCAGCAGTATGCAGTGTGCCGAGGAGGAGCGTGGCCGTAAAGGCGTGGTCGAAGAGCCTATCAATGAAAAGTAAGTGCAATATTACTCCTCAATATTTCATAGGAGAGTTTTACTAAGTAAACCTGGTGAGCAGGCTTCACCCCGATGAATGGATCGCCAAGCTCAGGCCCCTGCAGAATTTCGTTGCCAACGTTCTAAATCCTCGCCCTGTAGTGAAGATAGCTTTACTAGACGATGGTGCTAAGCTGAATCATCTCGACGGCAAGCAGAAGGGCATGAGTTTCCGCCCTGACAATGTCCAATGGTGGGTAGGCCCATGCTCACATGGAACGGAGATGGCACACTGCATCCGGAAAATCTGTCCCGGAGCCGAGCTGTACATTGCTCGGCTAGATGACTCCAGGAAAAACGAGCCAGAGAAATTCACGATAAAGTCTGCCTTGGAGGTAAGTTGGATGAGAAGATCAGGAACCCCCTTATATAATCCATGAAGCGAGTCGCTGACCTTCCTTTTAGGCCCTAAAATGGGCGCTGGCGTGGGATGTTGATATTATATCGATAAGTTGGTCATTTAAAAAGGCTGTTGAGGGCGAGAAAGACGAGTATGAGAAAGAGTTTACCAAGCTTGTAGAAAGTCTCTTGGGCTCTAAAGAAAGTCATGTTTGGTTCTCTTCCCGATAAAAGGCCGAACGAGGATTTCGATCATTATGCTCCCGTATCGTTGGCCGGTGTTATTAGAATTGGGTCAGCGACTATTTACGGTACGTACAATGAATGGAATAAGTTCGCGAAGAAAGACTTCCGACTGCCCGGCGAAGAAATCAAGGGTCTATCTGGGGACGTGGTCAGCGGAAGCTCGTACGCTACAGCTTATGCCGCTGGTCTCGCCGGACTTATGATTTGCTGCATTGAGGCGTATATGAAACTTAAGGACCTATACGTAATGGAGGGGGATGGTGACACTGAAGATATCAGAACTAAACGGCGTAACAAGGCTAAGACGGCGGAAAGGATTAAAATGATCTTCAAGCGACTTAGTTGCGCGTCAACAGATTCGCCACTAACAGATACAGGATTTTTTGTCCGACCATATTTACCGGATACTTCTTCAGTTTCGCGATAACCTCATTTCCGTGTTTCCTTGTCTTTGTGTTTCCTTATTGCCTTATTTGGGTGTACACCACCAACCACATACATTGTCAACCGATACTATCTAAAGTTATTTAGACGTGTCATAAAACAATAGGAGAAAAATAACCTTAACAAGAGACAATTCTAGTAGAGCTATATAAAGATTCATAAGCAAATATTTAAGCTAAATGAGACTTAAACAGCTTAATATTATGATGTAATGTAATATATGATATTTTGAAAGACGTTTTTAAGGTTATCTCGAACTTGCGACATGCAATAGTAAGATGACCAACGGTTTATATACCTGTAAGGCATGTGACCAATATTTAAGAATTACCCAAATATTAGTAGATTTTAATTAAGTATAACTTAATTTTATTAAAAGTTAATAAAATAATTTTATTATATTATAAAAAATTAATTAATTATAAATAATAAAAGTTATAATTTTTAATAATTTGTTAATTATTTCCAGTTTTTTATTGTAAAAAAAAAATTTTTTATTAAATTTAATAAAAAAGATTAAATTTTAATAAATAAGTAATTAAAAAGATTTAATAATAAATAATTAATAAAAAAGATTTTGGAAAAAAAAAAAAATTACTATTAAATATTAATAAAAAAATAATATAATAAAATTATTAAATCTAAAATTTATTTTATTAAATATAAAGATAATATAAAATTTTTTAATAATAAAATAATTTTTAATTAACTTATTAAAAATTATATTTATATATAATTAAATAAATTAAGTAAATAAATAATTTTTATTAATAATAAATCTTAAGGTTAAAAAAACAATAAAATATTTTAAACTAAATATTAAAATATTTTAAATATTTACTATAAATTTGGCGGTACTATTAATAATAATTATAATTGGTAAAAAAATATTAAACGTTTTTTTAAAATAATTAAAAAAACGATTAATATAGTTAAAAATATTTAATTAAATATTAACCGATATTTAAACTTAAATAAATTTATTTAACCCAATTATTATATATATATATAAAATAATAATTTTATTAATAAAAAATAATTTTATTTTTAAAGGATTATTAGGGAACAATTTTTAAAATTATTTAAATAATATAATAATAGTAGTTTAATAAAATGTAAAGGAAAACGTAGATAAAATTAACCAAATTAATATAATAAATTAAAAAAAAAACCAAAAAAATGGTATAAAAATATAATAGTAAATTGTTAAGCGGATTAATTTTAGTTTTAAAAAACGTTTAAACGTAAATTTCTATAAAAAATTAGTTTAAATAATATTTAATTTATAACTAAAATAAATAAGTTTAAGAAATAAACAAATAAAAAATTATTAATATATATTAAAAAAATTATAAAATTAATAAATTAAATTAATAATAATTAAAATAAAATTTTAAAAAATAAATTATATATTAAAATATATATTAATGGAAATAAAAATAATTAAAAAATATAAGAAAAAGTAATAAATTGGTTATATATAATAAATTAAACCAATAATATTAATAAATTAATAGCGGTATATACGTTTAATAATATGTATAAAATTATTATATAATATATAATAATATTAAATAAAAAAAGAAATTTTTTTATAAAAATTAAAATAAGTGTTTAGTATAATATGTTTATAATTAATAATAATATTATTAAAAAAATTAGATTAGTTTTTTAAGTAATAAAAAAACGGATAAAATATTTAATTTTTATATAATTTTTTTTATTATTATTAAATTATAAAAGGTAAACTTTATATATAATATCAATTATAATATTAATATAATATAAATTATATATTTAACCTTAATAATAATTATTTATAACTAATATATTACCGGTAATAATAATAGAAAAGATTAATAATTATAATAAAAAATAAATTATGTTTAATACCAAACCAATATAAATTAACCTATTATAGGTTAAATTTATTTATAATGGGCTAAATAATGATATATAATAAAACTTATAAAAACCGTTTATTTATTTTAATTATAAAATAAATAAATATTTATTAAAAAAATATAATAAATTATAAAAATTATGGAATAATTAATAATTAATAATGGATACAATATTTTAAGGTAACTTTATATTAAAAAATATTAAATTTAACCTTTTTTTATAACCAAATTAAACAAAAAAAATAAATATAAAAACTAAATGTATAATTTTAATAAAAATTAGTTAAATTTTAATTAAAAAAATTAATAATATAATAAATGGAATAATAATTAATAAAACCAAAAATAACAAAATTTTTAAAATATTTAATAAGGATGGAAGATACCTATTTATAATAATAATAAAAAAAAAAGTTAAAGTTATAATTAAAAAAAATAAGTAAATAATTAAATTAAATAAAAATAATAACGTTTAAATATTAATTATATCCAATTATAACCAAACATAATTAAGTAAAAATAAAAGAAAATAAATCGATTTTTTATATTTATATAAAATAAATATAAATATATTTAATAAAAAAAAATTAACTTAATAATTACGCAAAATAAAAATATAAATATAATAATAAAAATAAAACATTATAAAAAAAATTAAAAGAAATATAATTCTTATTTAAATATATAAAAATTATAAAAATAAATAAATTAATATAAATAAATTATTATAAATTACTTTATTTCTAAATATTACGTAAAAATAATTTTTAGATTAAAACCTAATATTATAGATATAATTAGCCAAATAAATAGAAATATTATTATATAAATAAAAAATAATTTTATTTAAATTAAAAAAAAATAAATAAAAATAATATAAACCTTATTTTATAAATATTTAAATAAAAATGTTTATAATATAAATTATATTTTATAACTAAATATAACTAAATAATAAATAAACATATATAAAATATATTAAAAGAAAAATATTGGGTACGGTAATTTACCAATATATAATAAATTATAAATTATTATTAAAATTAATTAATTTGGTATATATAAAGGTAAAAAAATTTAAACTAATTTTAGTTAAAAAAAAGTGTAAACTAAAAATAGCCAATAATTTAATTATTCCTATCCATTATTACATAATATTCCTATTTATAATTAAAAAAATTTTATTAATTATAAAAATATATATAATAAAAATAAATAAATTATATAATATTTTATTAAATAAAAAATAGTTAAAAAAAAATTAAGTAGTAATTAATTTTAATATTAATTAATTAATAATTATTAAAATTAACGGTTAATTATATATAATAAAAATGTGTTTAATATAAATAAAGGGATTAATTATAATTAAACGTAAATTAAATAAATATTTTTTTTTAATAATAGAAAATAGTTTAAATTTATTTAATAATAATAGAGATTTAAATAATAATAATAATATAATAAATAGTAATATTAATAATAAATTAATAAAAATAAATTTTTTATAAAAAATAATTAATATTATAAAATTTACCGTAATAAATTTAAAAAATAATTATTTATATTTAAAAAATTAATAATAAATTTAGATTAAAATTAAATTTATTATAAATATAATAATTTCTTTAAATTAAATATTCCTAAAAAATAAAAACAAATTAATTTCTAATTAAAAATTATAATATTTTTTATATATTTATTAAATAAAATTATATTATATTTTAAATAATTATTAATAAGGTAAAAAATAATGCGGAAATTTATTTTAACATTAATAATAATAATTTTAATTAAATAAAATATATTAAAAATAAATTTATAAATTATTAATAAATTATTAAAAATAAATAAATATAGATGATTGTTTAAAAAAATAAAATAAATAATATTTCTATATAAATATTACTTTTAAATATTTTTAACCTAGGAAAAAAATTAAAATTAATTATATTAAAATATATATTAAATAAAAATAAATATTTAATAATATTAGAGGGAAAAAATATAATAAAATTATTTATACCTTATATTATATATAAAATTTAGGAAAACGCATGCACTTGCAAGCTCGCGCAAGCGTTTTCACGTACTCGCAGGCTCGCACGGTAAAATCTGCCGGAGACTCTTATCAATTTTTTATCATTTATTGATCAATTATTTATCAATTATTTATCAATTATTTATCAATTATTTATCAATTATTTATCAATTATTTATCAGTTTTCCATAATAATTTTTAAAAGTTTGAGCGTAAAAAATGTCTCCGACGGATAATAAATAATAATAATTTTATAAATTTATATTTTAATAAATAAAAATAAATATAAACTAAAAACTGTTTAATATTTTTTAATATATATAATAATAAATATAAAATTGTAACCGTTTTAAATAATTAAAATAACGTAATATTGGTATTAAAGGTAATTAAACCTAATAAAATATATAAAAATAATTTAAAATGGGTAATAAAAAAAATAAAATAGTATATATTATCCCATTTTATAAAAATAATTAAGTAATTAAATATAATAAAAATATAAATAATAATAAAAATAATTTAATATATTTTAATAAATTAAACCTATAATAAATAATTAATAAATTAAACCTACGTTAAATAATTAATAGTTA